GCAGCGCCTTCTGGGACTGGTATGGCGGCAGTGGCACACCTTTACCAGCAGCCGTCGCCACAGCCTGAGCGACAAGTGAGTGCAGATGACTCAGCTCTGCCCAAGACGGGTAGCACAGATGCGGCGAAGAGATACCGCCGGCGAAGTGCGAACACGTTGGACACCAATGCGTCACCAGGTCAGTATGACGATCAGACAATTGCGGGCGCACCTCGCCCCATGTCTACTTACGCATCAAGCGCTCTGTCCACACCCACATCACTGAATCCGCCGATCCTGCACGCACGCAGCGGCAGCAGAGAAGGTGATGTCGCCTCACGAGCGGTCGCCACGCCTCCCCTCACGCAAGCGGATTCAGGCAGATCCAGTGTACGCCTTGTTGACAACAGCAATGGCTCCGTCCTGGCATCCAAATCGGTCAATGTCCCGCCACGAGGATCTTCAGATGCGAGCAAGCGGCTAGTGACTCCATCGCCATTGTCGAAGCAAACCAATGAGATTGAGTCTCAGAACGCGCCACCTGCAAAGCCTAGAACGTATGCATCTGTCGCTCAAGCGGCAGTGGCAGCACCGAGCCCAGCAGCCCAGCATCTTGCCGCGGTGAACGACAAGAACGGCAACAAGGGCATGACTTCGCGACTTCGCCGGGCGTTCTCCTTCGGCAGCGCTCAGGAGCTGCGTCGAGCATCTGCGGAGAACAACATCTCAGCCGCCGCACAGGCTCGGACACAGCAACAGCAAAAGGTGGATGATGGCATGGATGCTGAGCAGCAAGAGATTGCCAGGCGACAAGAGGCAGCTGGTATTGGTGCGGGCATATACTCTGGACAAGGTGGTTTCAATGGGTCGACGGACAACATCTCCATTCAGTCGACTGCGTCATCAGCGTCAATGATGCTGAGGAAGATGGGTAAGGGAGCCAAGAAGAGTGCTAGAAGCATCAAGGGCTTGTTCCGACCCAAGTCTGTGATTGGCGTGCCCGCTGCCGATGGGCCTGTGCAGGTACAGACAGCGCCTGTGTTGCAGCCGAGCATTGCGCAGGTGTCGATGGTGACTGTCGAGGCGGAGAGGCAGAAGGTGAATGTTAATGAGCATCCGTCTGAGAAGGCTGGAGGTGTCACTGGCTTCCCCAAGCTGGAGCGAAATTCGATCGATGCCGCGAATGCTTCAATGCGAGGCTCGGCTGATGGGTCTGATTCGCACTCGCGACGCAGTGTTGTGGGTAGTGATAAGGATCGTGCGGACGTACTGGCCGCGGTGAAGAAGGGTATACTGAAGCGATCGGGCGCATCGTCGCCATCAGGTTCGCCAGTACTGCGGCCCACGGAGAACATCCCGCACATCACAGAGAGCCCGGCATCCTCGCCTGGCCCAGCGACGCCTACCGGCGCTGCATCAGTCCGCACAGGTTCGATCACGAACACTGCCGACTACTTCACACGATCCCTCACATACAGCCGAAGCATGCCCAACACGCCGAATGGTAGTGCCAGATCGATCAGCTTCTCGCCACGCATACAATTCCACGATGCATGGAGCAGCACCGACTACGATCGCAGGGGAGAAGTGGCAACATGCAACCGCCTGACTCCGATCTTGGCTCAGCAGATCAAGGAGGAGCTGAACACTTTCAAGATGGTGAGTTGTGATGAGATTGTATGATTGTGCAGCACCATACTAACATCGCAATAGGAAATGGAAGTCCACGAGGCCAGCAAGCCACACACCCACTTCTTCTAATGACCACGCATCTACAACATCTGCACAAACGAACGAACGAGATCACGCGGCGTCATCGAAGCACCATCACCCTTCCCTCCACCTCTTAACGGCGTTCACGGGTGGCACTGAACGGCGCATTGAATCGACAGGGGAAAGCGAGTGTTTGTAAGGATCACCAGATCAACTTTTCTTCACCGGTCGAGAGACAGAAGGAATCACCGGGCCTACTGTTACTCATGTGCCACTTTGCATCAAGTCATACTATTCAGCGTTTGCATATTGGGTCTGGCGCATGGGCGGAGGGGAAAGGACTGGATGGAATGGGACTAGGGGAGGCATTGCCATATCTGCAGTAATGCACACAGGATGAGAGAATAGGGTAGGATAGGCTTGTTGGACTATGCTACGCTCTCTTCGATCCCATCGATACAACTTGTGGATTCGAAGTGGGGATGGCGGTGTTCGGCTGGCGGTGAGTTTGTACTACAGTGAAGCGAGACCGCCTGTTGTGTATTGTGGAGATTGGCTTCGTGAATGTCTTGCATTTGCATTGACCTTTTTGGGTCTGGCCCGCATGGCTGAAGCAGATGGTGTGGTCCTGCATCTAACGCGCAGTCTCACTGTGAGACTCGACGGTCCATGAACAGATCCCTCGCTTAATCGTCTCAGTGATCTGCTATGAGGCAAGGCTGTACTTACGTAGTCCACGATAGGGCCTCCAGCCTTATTTCCGGGTCCACGTTGACGGTCGCACTTCACCCCATGTCTCCCGTCCCCACACTGCCTTGCGGGATGTGGCGTTCTTTGACATCATCACATCGCGCTCGTGGCGAGCATGATATATACACTACCACCATAATTGTGAGAACTTCCACAGAAGCACTTCGACACATCATCCTGAATCCTTCATTGCACAGAATGGCAGCCCTCATCATTGCCGGCGTCATCGCCCTGCACGAGAAAGTTGAATCGAAGCGCGAAGCCAAGCGCATGAAGCGCAGGAATACCGAGGTCAGGTACGAGGAGTTGCAGAAGGAGACAATATTAAGGCTGGAGAGGACGGACAGCGCTGGTGGGCAAGGAAGGAGGAGTGAGAGTTCGGAAAGGGAGAGGCAAGGGGAGAAGAGAGGGGAGGGGCTGCCGGGGTATGATGAGGTTGCTGGAACTGGGGCAAGAGGAAGAGGGGAAGGCGTGAAGAGTTGAGCTGGAGTCGAAGGACAACCGCAGAAGAGATGGCTTCACGGTATACAAGACACAGATCCTCGTTCTCCCGCTACCGCGCTTGCTCGTGCCAGTCCACCAAGTGGCGGATGTCACCCTATCCTCAGCGACTGTCCACACGAACCTTCCTACTGCGGACCTCGAATGCTCTATGAGAACGCGCCCATGGGCGATCCACTCAACCCGGATATGAGTTATGTGTTCGTCTCGCAATGCTTCGCATGTGAGCACGAGTGCCTGTTCCGGCGCTCCACGACTTAGTCTGCACCGTCTTCAGCAAGTCGGGCAGGATACCACCATACAGTCGGAAAGCTGGGATCGATCCCCGGACCGTGACCGCCACCCTCACCTTACTGAATCTGGATTCGTTGTGCACGAAATCGAGCTGGTATTCAGGCTGGAGAAGTCCTTGGTAGCATGTCAGGCTCCTGTGACACCACACTCACAGTCCAGCACCAGGGCAGGGAGGAGTGCTCGGTCGCAGAGAGAAGCGTAATGAGGTTGTGGATACAGAATGATTATGGGTAACGACAGTACCGCCGTGTTTTGCGTTTGGGCATTTCGCGGAATGCTTGGCTGTTTCAGTGTTTACTTTCGCCCGGCTGCTATATAGCCACGTCAATGGAAGTATGCTATCATCTAATCCTTCTCGTATGACACGACTTTCGGAGCGCTATCAGCCTACTTCGAGAAGACTGGCTAGCGAAGTCACAAAGGCAAAGTAAATGTCCCGTGGCAAGTACGCGTTGGGGCAACCACGCATGGGCGTGAGCGTTCTTCCTTTCAAGTACTCTTGCTGTCTCGCTACATTAGCGCCATCTCTGTTCTGACCTCACCTCCTCCCAACATACTCATTCCCATATTAGCCTTCAACATGCAGAGCCAGGGCTCGCATGGCATTGACTGTATCGCGAGAGACGACTACTGGCATATCTAACGGATCATCCTCACAGCGTGCGCATCTGAAAGTCGCCTTGCTTGGACGGTGCTACGACCCATGCCTGGGAGATGCGCTAGCGACCACCATGAGATCGAGACGGACTGCCACAGGACCTACCACCACTTACCGTGTCCCATTGCTCGCACGCAGTGGAGCTGGCGATACTTCATGCATTGCGGAGAGACCCTGCCGCTGGGCTCGGTGTACTGGAGAGCCCTCGAACGGAGTGCGGACGCCCATGATCGCGGACATGTCAGGGAGTCCGGTATCTTGCAAGACAACCCCCCGTTGGTGGACCTTCCACCCATGCTACCACGTCCACCGTTGCGAACATTGGACAGTTCCGGGAGTGATTGCTCAGCGGGAACTGCCTCGGCCACTCAGTCCAGTTCAGCCGATGTTAGGATCTGCTCGTACCTGGCATTCCCTCTGCGCGATCCTGGAGCTATGTCGGCCACCTCCTATCTCGAGGCCACGCTCCTCGAGCCGTTTGCGCCACGCTGGACAACGGAGATGGAGGTGCCGTACCTACGACGATCTCGTTGCGATAGCTGTGGCCAGCACCAAGATCGCCACCCGACGACCGATCCTCCTACTCGGACAGCCGATTCCAAGACTGCGAGCTGGCACCAGTATCGCTAGTAGGGCTCTGATCATGTCGCTGGCGCGGCCGCATCGATCGATGAGGTTTACCGTCACCCTTCGAAGTTGCCAGGGTTTTCGTCGTCGGGGAACGCCATACGCCGCTCAGCCTGAGCAGTAGATCATGGAGCTCTTCTCGCAACGAATGGCGTGAAGACTATCATCTCAGTGTGGCAACAAAGCGGATCCACTTCCCGAAGCACAGCTCGCTTCGTTAGCGTCGCAGTTCGAAGGTTTCTACCCGCCGAACTGTCGACCACACCGAGTCACTGGGCTTGATACTCGGTCCAAGACCACCGAGGAATCGATGCCGCCACTACGAAAGGACTGCTCTGCTTCGATGCGTGTACGACGAGCTCAATCGAGTCCGGATTTGCTGCTAGGTCAAATCACTCGTGCAGCATCCTCGGGCGCAAGAAAGGCCCCCGCTTTGATAATTTGATTATAAACAGTCTGGGCAGCCCTTTCAAGCACCGCCCCTATCGTATAACGGTTTAGTACAGCGGTCTCATATGATTTGAGGGTACCCAAGGTACCCAGCGATCCGCAAATCTGAGTTCGATTCTCAGTGGAGGCAGTGTTCCACTACAAGCCTAGCTTGTGATCTCTCTTATCCTTTTGCACGTATCGCGGCTTTTTTGGTGGGGTCCGACTGCCGCACAGTCAGTGCGGAAGTGAGCTGAGTCATGCAGAATCCTACCATCTGAAGCCATGTTTGATCTGCACTTCCAATTACCCGTTCCTTACACGATGCACCCGTTGGCGTTGGCATCCCTTCATCCGTCAGTAAATTCCACGGTAGATCTGCAATGCACAAAGGTGCACGGCCAGAAGCATAAGCCAGGGTCAATCTGCTGACGGAAGGTCCGTGACGATACTAAACGCGTACTAAAACGCTGCTTAAACGGCACTTCCGCACTGCCCCTAGGCCCTCGCTTACTTATGCACTGCGGTAGATACGGTGGAAGGCAGACATCTTTGTTAGGGAACTGACGAGACTGCAGAAAAGCATCTGACGTCTATGCGACGAAGTAAACTTTCCTTCCAATGAAGGAAAACAACAGGAGCGAGCGTATGCTTGCGCCCGTGATCGCCACTACCGAGAACATCGTACTAGGCTTGATCTTGTACCCAGAGGTGGGCAGTAACGAGAGTGCAAGCAGATCACCGAGCGAGCGTATGACATCAGTTGCCGGCTCCACGGTTGTTAGAAGATCTTGTCACCAAAGTCGAGTCTCTGACCCTGCTCTCCGGTTGCTATCCGTTCGCTATCCACCCTCGTGTGCTCTATGTTCGATCAGGACCCATATTACCAGTGTCCGTCACTCAACGCTTTACAGTACCGCTGTAGCAAGGTTCTCTACACGAGGGAATCGGATCTCCCATCTACGGGGGAACGGCAGCCCAAGGTCGCTGATATCTCCCATCACAAGCTCGAGTAGCTTGAACTACATATACTCTCGGTCCCACCAAGTCTCTTATATATCCCTATTGGTCGAGTACGGAACGCGAAGGGGTCGGTAAACAATCTTTCATTGCATCAGGTTTGCGGTTTGTCACTACAAGTCTCTCAAGAACAGGCACGCGAACTCCTCACAACTCATCTCACTCTCAGTCATTGGTCAATAACACAAGGGTATACGACCTCTGATCTCTCGCAAGGCCAAACTGTTGCTTCCTTTGCCCGGCGAGTGTCCTAAGATACTCTCGACTACACCCATACACACTGTGCAGCCAGTTCACGCGCGAGGGCGCTTACAACATCACACCCCTTCTTGGCATCTTCTACGCGACTCCGTGCAGCCAGGTTAGCAATTTTGCGATGGCGGGTGATTGGAGAGTAGCACAAGCCAGGGCATGAACATCTGCGAGATTTCGAGGTTCACAGGAGTATCTCCGGTCGATGCCACATCGTTTCATACCTCGACAGTAGGAATCTGAACACAAAATTCACACCCTGCTGCCCACCTGCGGCGACGCTATACGTGAGGGTGTCTAAGCGACAAGTAATGTTTGCCCAATGCAAGCACCTTAACGAGACACATGGAATCTATCGCACCTACTCCGACAGCAAATCTTAGGTTCGCCTCACCAACAGCCTGGCCTACTCCTACCCTTCTAGCATCGCAGTCATCACAGCCAACTTTTTGGAAGTACGGTAGGAGAGAGACACGATCTACATCTGTTGCTTCTGTCCAGGCCGGTTCTCTCACATCCGCAGTGACACGGTACTCCACTACCGCTATCACGCTTTGAGCAGCATTGCCGAAGTGCCAGTCAGTTGGAGAGGTGTAAGTAGTTGGGATCATGAGTGATCTCTTCGCTTGATCAAGGCGCAAGACTCGATGCCCACGCAAACCGCAGTCGAGAGGACATACGGCACTCGGCACCTGACTGTCGTGTTCGCCGGGGTTGTCTCCACATGGAAGAAGTAGAGCTCCAGCACACAGCTCTAGCCAGATTGTTCCACCAAGATCTGGGCACTGAGGCTGCCGCACTCGCGACTTTTCCGCAACGCGACTCTCTATCGGCAACGTCGGGCATCTCCAAGCGATCCGAACAGCAGCACTGCTTTTATCAGCTTGACCATTGCAGTGTAGCGCCTGCTAGGGGGTCACTGAGAGACAGCAGAGGAAAAGTGCACGATTCGGTGTAATGCATAGGACCTTGTCTCTCAGCGAAACGTGTCCAGCAACTCTTCATTGTGAGCGCTCAACACAGAAGCTGAAGACTGCTTTCGGATGTCCGGAAGAGCACATGTGATACTAATAGTTGACAGAAAGATTGCCCACCGGGGAGCTCTCAGTTCAATGCGTAAGAGCTGTATGGCCTTGAGTCTGCTTTGCTGGCAGCCTCGCGCCGATCAACAATGGTGATCGATGCCAAGAAGGATGCTAGTCAGCGCGACTCGAGTGTGAGTCGTGAAGTACGCAATCATTCTCTCTGCGAACTGAACAAGGTTTCCAGACAACTCGTCGCCGTGCCTCGACAAAACTTGCGAGTCGAAGTAAACGCACAGCCCTGACTGCCTCTGGTAGAGTGCCCGGCGCGGCTGTAGGTGCAAGATCGTGCGGTTCATGCTACTGCCGCACTCTACCCAAATCCATGTATCGAGAAGAACTTAAATTCCCGAAGACGGAAGCATCGCAATTGGGAAGGCGGCTCTACTAAGTGAATCATGGCGCGGTCAACCTACGGCATCTCGGTCTGGCATCCGCATTATCGTCGCTCCCCGGTGGTCTCCAGACATTGTTCGGCCCACGTCGTCTCCAGTTCACCTACTTTCATTGTCGGGCTTCCAGTGAGTGTGACATGCCCATCGCCGAAGTGACCTGTAGGCCTGGTCGTGATTGTTAGCAGGTAGGGAGTAATTGTGATCGTGCTGCCAGTCACCGTAGACTACTCTTGGTCATACGCAACAGCGCACGCTGGAAGACACCACCTGTCAGAGGAACGCTCTGTGGCCTCGATGTGCAGGTTTACCTCACCAATGCCTACGATATGGCAGTGTCTGATAGGGACATGGGTAGTGTTCGTCTGCAGTACGCGATCAAATTGTGCTGCACCCGCTGCAATGACTCAAGGTCATCAGTTGAGACCCGTCAATGCTCTTGATCACCTTCTCGCGGGTCGCGCAGGCTGTCCGAAAAGGTAATGGATGTTGTCAGTAGATTGGCTGAAAAGACCCGTTATGTGGTGTGGGGTCATGCCAAAAGTCCCCTCTGGGCACGACTTCTGACGCCGTCCTTCAACCAGCATCCACCGTACATTCATTCCCTCGACTCACACCTATCGATGCTTCTCCAATTTCTTCCCTGCAGCTGAAGTACATCATGTCGGCCTCGCTGCCTGGCAGCAGAGATCTGCCTGCCTCTCAGTATGATTTGAGCACATACTGGGGTCGAGTCAGACACTCGGCCGACCTGTCTGATCCTAGGTGAGATCCGATCCTTGAAGTGAAGAAGTCGAAATGCAGGCAAACCAGCCAGTCTCGACCTCGATGTGTGATATCATGTCAGAGCTGGCCAGATGTTTCCTCGCTGGTCAGTATACACTTGCTGTGCTTGACTGCAGGTCTCCCTTGGTCTCAGCTTCCTTTGTGTTAATAACGATGTTTGCCAACCACGAGCTAATGATAGAACAGAACGCTCTTCACCTCCTCATCCGGACTCGAACATGCAAAGCAGCTTGTCACCCAGTACAAGCAAGGCAAGGTTCAAGCCATGAATCCAGATCTTTGGACCGCCAAGAAGACAATAGACAGCACGCTTCACCCAGGCGAGTACCCTATCGCGAAGATGGCAGAGCTTCGACTGACTTTAGCGTCCACAGACACCGGCGAACCAGTGTTTCTGCCCTTCCGCATGTCATGCTTCGTCCTCAGTAATCTGGTGGTTACCGCCGGCATGCTCACGCCAAATCTTTCCACTGTCGGAATATTGGGCTGGCAGGTTACGAATCAGTCTCTGAATGTCGCCATCAACGCTTCGAACGCCAATAAGTCGACGCCGATCTCGACGTCGACTATGGTGCAGTCTTACTTCCTCGCCGTCGGCGCTAGCTGCGGTGTAGCTCTCGGTCTCAATTCTCTAGTGCCTCGCCTCAAGCGTCTCAGTCCAGGCGCTCGGACGATACTCACTCGCCTCGTTCCTTTTGCGGCAGTGGCGAGCGCCGGAGCACTTAACGTCTTCCTCATGCGCGGCGAGGAGATTCGCCGCGGGATCGACGTCTTCCCTTCCGAGTCCGATGCTGCGAAAGAGAAGCGCGAAGCCGCTGGACTGCCACTCGAGTCTGTCGGCAAGAGCAAGAAAGCGGCTATCCTGGCTGTTGGCGAGACGGCGCTTTCTCGCGTGCTGAACTCGTCGCCGATCATGGTACTACCGCCACTTGTGCTCGTACGTTTGCAACGTACTGCATGGCTGAGTCAGAGGCCAAGAATGGTCCTACCGGTCAATCTGGGGCTGATCTTGACGACGAGTATCTTTGCGCTGCCTCTCGCGCTCGCAGCCTTTCCGCAAAGGCAAGCTGTGAAGGCGGAGAGTCTAGAGAAGGAGTTCTGGGGGAAAGCTGGAGAAGGTGGCATGGTGGAGTTCAATCGAGGAATCTGAGATGGAGCCTCACGTGTTGCCAGTTTGACCCAGTTCATGTCAGTAGCGACTTGCCAGGAGATTGTGACAAGTACAGGCACTGCGATTTGAGCATATCAGCTCTGCGGCTGAGTCAAACCATCCTACATGCATAGAAGCCAGTGGTAAACGTCACCTCAAGGCATAGTATCATACATCATATTGCTACACCAGCTACTTCTTCCTCCCCTTCTTTCCCTTGCCACCAACCTCGCCCAAGATCGCATCAAAGGTCTTGTTCGCGTCAACATTATGTGAGCTCTTCGGCCGCTCTACACTCGAGTTCCTCGATCCATGTCCGTTCTCCGGCGCAAAACCCGGCGGCAGTGGCAATGGCTCCAATCCCATCATCAGAGAATTATTCCGCTGGTGAGCTCTTGGCAGACTGCCCTCCCTCGCTCCATTCGCGTGCAGCATCCCATGAATAGGCGGTACAGGCGGTACATCGCCC